TCCAACATTTATCGAACATCTCTTAGGCTCATCGTGGGAGCTTACTGTTCGCTGAGTGTATAAAAATTGAAAAAGGCCCCCAAAATTGAACATTAATCTACAGCAGCCTTTGGGTTGTGCGCCTCACTGTTTTTGTACAACTACCGTAGGTCTGATAGCCAGCCCTCTCCCAGACCTAGTAGAGGCCTCTCATTCCTCTGACCAGATCCTAACCCCCCACCCTCCCCACACCACTTCTCCCTAGAGGCCCATGCCAGGGTGTGGCGGGGGGAGGGGGGCTGGGCTTACAGCCTTTCATCATGGCAGGCCTGTCCTTCCTCTGTCCAGAAGTAGAACCAGAAACGCATCGGGCACCTTCATGGTAGATATGGTTACTTCAGGTAGTGCATTGAGTAAGCAGAAATCAGAAGCACATAGGACTGAGGTACACATAATATGGGAGGTCACAACAGGTGCCTGTGGGTGGCCTGTGACAGATGAGGAAACAGGTTTAAAAAACCAGCCAGCACCTCATTCCTCTGACTCCCACTTCAGTGTTCTTTCGAGGATAGTTCATTGCCTTCCTGATTGAGTGGAGGTGTGAGACTCCAGAATCCTATACAAAAAGCCTCTTTTAGAACTTTGTTAGTGGTTTATATAAAAATTAAAACTGTGTCTAGATTCATCAGCTAGATTTTTTTATTTAAAGCCATATAACAGTTTGGGCACTACCACATTAATTTTCATCGAAAGTTATGCAGTTAAGAAATTTCATGAATACTCTGAATGAAGGAGCATCACAATTTTCTATGATAAATCAGACTTCATATGTGTGAGGTGGTTGAGGGAGTGGAAAAGAGCAATAAGGGGCTAGTGGAAAAGGCCATTTATTCATGGTCCTACTTCCCATCTTGGGTGTTGAGTTATTTGTGATTGCAGATCCTCTGATTTGAGGGAAGTGAAGCAGAAAAATAAGATGCCATCAGGTAGGAGGCCAATGTCAGTCCTATCAGTAAAGCCATTTCACTTACCTGAATGGAAATGAGAAAAGAAATGTACACTAAATAAATTTCCCATAAATGTGAATGAGATTCTTTTTTTTTTTTTTAAAGATTTTATTTATTTATTTGACAGAGAGAGACACAGCGAGAGCAGGAACACAAGCAGCGGGAGTGGGAGAGGGAGAAGCAGACTCCCCGCTGAGCAGGGAGCTCAATGTGGGGCTCGATCCCAGGACCCTGGGATCATGACCTGAGCCGAAGGCAGATGCTTAACGACTGAGCCACCCAGGTGCCCTGTGAATGAGATTCTTTTTTTTTTTTTTTAAGATTTTATTTATTTTTTTGACACAGAGAGACACATAGAGAGAGGGAACACAAGCAGGGGAGCGGGAGAGGGAGAAGCAGGCTTCCCGCGGAGCAGGGAGCCTGACATGGGGCTCGATCCCAGGACTCTGGGATCACGACCTGAGCCGAAGGCAGACACTTAACGACTGAGCCACCCAGGCGCCCCACTGTGAATGAGATTCTTAAAAAGCAGACTCAGGTCCTTGGCTCTCTTATTTTTAAAGTGATTAATGAAGATAATGAGATTTGAGAAAATACTTGGGGAATTTTAAGTGAAATGAAAGCTGCTAGGTCAGGGCAAGTAAAAAGTTTAAGCAACTGATTTTACTTTGTCCAGATCCTCTACTGTCGTAGATTAATTATGTCTAATAAATTTCTAGACAAAAGAGACTCCAGTATCTGTGAATGTGTTCTGGGAATGAAGAAGCGCTAAGAGAAGGGCGCTCCAGAGATGATCAGAGTATACACAGTTGGTAGAGAGCGCTCTGGTAAAATGAGCTCTCGCCTGGAAGAGCCAAGCTGAGGAGGAGGCTGAAGAAAGATTTAGATTGGAACGTCTGGGTTGAAAGAGACCTCTGAGGTGATCTCATCCAGGACAGGGTCTTCTGTATCAGCTCTGTCAGGTGGAGCTTTGGCTTCTGCCTGGAAAAGTTGGCCTCGAATCTGTGGTGGCATGTTATGGTGGCATCCATCTTAGTACTTTTGTCCTCTGCGATTTAGGGTGGGTGATGGGGAGTTTGGGGAACCCTACTTCATTAAGGTTACTTTGTGAAAACCTTAATGGTACCCTGGTACCTCCCTCCCTGTGCATCTTTCTCGTTTCTAACGAACCCTCCCCACCTCCGAGCCTCCACATTTCCTGAGGGATTTTAAAAACCGAAGACGTTCCTAAGAGATGTACAGGCCAGCACATTCACACCTGAACATTGTTCCCTGAGAATTTATTCAGCAACGAATGTTTGAATGCCATGCTTAGCGGTGGGATCCGCTTGTGCGCAGGAGGACCAAGGTCCCTATGCTCCTGTGGGAAGGTGGAGGGTGAGGGGGCGGGGCGGGGGGCCGTGAGGGGAGGAAAGAAGATAACTCTGTGTCCTTCAAGCTGTGGCTAGAAGACAGACTGCACCCAGGGGACTGCCCTAGGCCCTTTCGCTGCTGCTCACCTCTCACCCACCATTCCAGACTCCCAGCCGAAGCTGCCAAAGGACCGCCTTTGTCAGCAGAACTTTTCGGCACAGAGCCCTATACACTCTCTGGCCCAGAGCCATTACTCCAAAGGCTTGGAACAGCCCTTTGGCCCAGTGTGCTCTCCAGACACAGCCTCATGGATAATTTGTCCTGAACCTTGAAGCAAGGGCAGAGGCTCCTTTTTTAGACGCTTCCTTTCCTCTCCATTACTGTCTTATATTTTAAAAGTCCGGGTTGGATCAGTAAGTATTAAATGTATCACATACTTATAACTCCTTTTGGAGGCTCCCTGTTTGACTCTCCCTTTTCTGACCCCTCATTCCCTGCCTTATTATATCACAAACACAGGATTACCACGGATCCATCAGAAATCTCCCCATCTCCTGCCTCTTTCTCCTATTGCCCACAGCATACAACTTAGCAGAGAGTCAACAATAGAGGTAATTCTACCAACAACAAGGAAAATAAGTTTTGTCCCCTCATTATCCATTTTATTTTTTTATTTTTTTTTAAGATTTTATTTATTTATTTGACAGAGTCAGAGATAGCGAGAGCAGGAACACAAGCAGGGGGAGTGGGAGAGGGAGAAGCAGTCTTCCCCCCGAGGAGGGAGCCCGATGTGGGGCTCGATCCCAGGACCCTGGGATCATGACCCGAGCCGAAGGCAGACCGTTAACGACTGAGCCACCCAGGCACCCCTCATTATCCATTTTATTATGAATAAACCCCAACATGGGGCTTGAACTCCCAACCCTGAGATCAGGAGTTGCATGCTCTACCGACTGAGCCAGGCTGGTGCCCCCTCATACCCATCATCCATTTTTAAAGGCCCTTCTTAGATATCTGAAAACTATGGCTTACACCACAGTCCTCCATCATCTTTTGAAGCCAGGAACTAGAACTTGGGCTCCTGCCTGATTTGTTGCTAAGGAAGGGATGAGAGCTGATAGTTCTTGGTTGTCTGGATGCTGTTGATCAGTAAGAGGATCCTGGTCAACACAGACACTTTTCCAGACTCAGCAAAATCCAGTTGGTTCTCCCACAGCATGTTCTGGTGGCACCTTAGACCAGGTAGAGTTCAATAAACTTCCTTGAAATCTAGGAATTTACAGAGGTTGAAATTGCTCCCTCAAAGGCTAGAATGTCAAGAAGTCAACCCCTAGCTCTGGTCCTCTTCTTCATTGAGAGTAATTTATCTTTTTTTTTTTTAAGATTTTATTTATTTGAGAGAGTGCACACAAGTTGGGGGGGGCAGAGGGCAGAGGGAGAGGGAGAAGCAGTTTCCCCACTGAGCAGGGAGCCCAACGCAGGGGTCGATCCCAGGACCCTGAGATCATGACTCAAGCTGAAGGCAGACGCTTAACTAACTGAACCACCCAGGTTCCCCAAGAGCAATTTATCTTAATAATCAAAGAGTAGCACATTCAGGTGGACTCTGTGTCTGCTTGGGTTCAAATCTTACTATTCAAAATTCGCTCTTAACAGTAAATAATAAGGGATGAGGAAAATGGGGTAAAAACGGTCCACAGGACACTCTGTGAAAAAGGAGCCAAAGATTACAGAACTTTAGAATTTTTGAGTTTTATGACCTATATTCCCACACCTTCCTTCTGGAAGACAGTTTTTTGGAGAACTGGGGGCCAGAAACATGTTACAGAACTGATATTTCATGGCTCTGGAATAATAACTCCTCTGGGGCTGGATCTCTGTCAGCTCTGCAGTCCTCCTAGTTGCTCAAATCTTACCGAAGTTAGGATATGTTCAGGGGACCCTGGCTCAAATAACCCAATGTTCTCTTCCTCTCTGCCCTCCTCCAACTGGGAGGTGTTAGTAGTATTGCCCAAGGCTTCCCTGGAGTGGCTGGAATTGTTTCTGCTGGGGGAGACACTCAGCAGCCTGGGCTCTGGGGGACTGAGGCAGCGTCAGCTATAGCGTGAGTGCAGGGGGCCCGGGAACATCTGCCTTACCTGGTTTGTTTTCGAGAGTTAAAGAAGCTGAGGGTAAGGGTCTCCTGAGAATTTCACTGAAGAGGAAGAGGCCGCAGGGAAACCACTGAGGGGGAGAGATTATTCAAGGTGAATAACCAAGAGTGTAGGGTAGATATTCTGGGGCACCAGCTTTTCCAGAACACAGCCGAAATAGCTGGTTTTAAGTGATGACTTTCTTCCTAGTTGAAAATTCAGGGAAGGACTGGCAGGTATGCTTGCTTAAAAAGAGAGGAATTGTTGCAGAACTTTTGCATCAAAAAAAAAAAAAAAGACTAAAGCTGAAATTTATTCTTTTAGTCTCTTTTGGATCCTCATCTGGGAGCCCCTTAACTTCATCTAAAACCTCTTATCTCTTAAAGCTACCCTTATTTGTCATTTCTTAGCCTGAACCCTTGTCAGAAACATCAGTCTTGACAAGTAGGCTGTGGGGCACCTGCTCCCAATGGGGCTCTAGGGAGTGACCGCTTGTCTGTGACATTCATGCTCCAGCCTAATGCCTTCTGTTGAGGGAGCTGGAACTCTCCGGCAGCCTGGGCCTTGTTGGGGCCATGAGGGGTTGGGGACTGACCCTGCAGGCCTCAAGCTGAGGGCTTTCTGATGGACGTGGGACTCTGCTTTGCAGCTTGAAGAGCTATGATGGCGGTCAACAAGGGCCCAACCTTGCTGGATGGAGACCTCCCTGTAAGTAACTTGAGAAGTGGGGGGACCACTGAGCGGGGGAGGAAAGAGCAGGGAGGAGAGGTTCAGGGGACTCAGAACAAGTTATGTCTAGATTATATTCCTCTTCCATTGGCCATTACGTCTTTCATTATTCTTGCCCTCAGTACCTTTTGCAGGGGGCTCTTAGAGGAGGGGGGGTGCCTACCGAAAACTGAGCACCTCGGAAGAAAAGAACAGAAATATTGTCTGAGTTGGTAAGGAGAGGAAGGGAACTACTGTGTTCTAAACCCTGATGCAAACGCACATGCTTTGTCCGCCCAGGCGGGATGTAGATTCAAATGCCAAGCCGCTGCATTCTGTAACTCCGGGCTGTCGTGCGTGTCTAGAGTATGTGAATGGCACCTCTCGGGGTTACACGGCACACAGCCTGTGCTGTATATGGGAAAGGGTTAGAGGAACATTATTTCCGGGGTTTTGTGTCTAGCCTGGTTTTCACTGTGACTTAGAGCGTGTGACACCTTTAGGGGTACCTGACCCTTCCAGGCAAGGCCTCTCTGATTTAGGCACAGTTCAGATAGTGGGTGAAACTTAAAAACTGTGAGCCCATATAATGCCCATCTTGTCCCAAGTTAGGCTTTAGCTAACTTTTGCACTTGGAATCACCACCAAGTTTTATATTAAATCATAGAACGCAGAGGCATAAATTGAACCAGTGCGTCATTAACCCATCCTAACGGTTGGTGGTTTATTCCCTTCCCAGGACCTCTCTCTCCCTCTTTGGCTTTGCCTACAACAACCCCCAAAGGCTCTGTCCAAATGTTAAAGAAAATATTCTCTTGTTTACAGTCAGATTCTTTTTCTAGTTCAAATTTCAAACTCGCCTGCAAAATGAAAGCTAAGAAATTGTAGCCTGCTGTCGTAAGTCTCCTTGATGGGTCTCCTAACTCAGCCGACAAAGGGAAGAGACTAGGTCCTCACCTCCAGAGCAGAACCCTGCTACAGGGACATAGTCAAACTGCAGAGAGCCCCGGCATCTGAGTCAGGACCTGGGGAGCTTTCTCTCTTCACTTTTCATGTGGAGAATTCTTAGCCTTCCTAAGCGTGGACAGAAGAATATTAATACCCTTCACTAGCCGCAACAGCCATTAATCAGTCCTGTGGCCAATCCTGCCTCATCTGCCCTCTGCTTTATCCCCAGACCTTGCGATATTTTGAAGTGAATCTTGCAGAGAGGACATTTCAGGCCTGAGTTGGAATCCTGACTCTGTCATTTACTAGCTGTGTGATCTTGGATAAGCCACCTCACATCTCTGGGTCTTTGTGTCCTCACCGGCAAAGTGCTAGTGCTGACATCAGAGGGTCACTGTTAGAATTCAGTGAGGTCTTGTCACCCAAGCACCCCAATCAGTGCCTGGAGTAAATATTTCCTCGTGCAGGACTAGAATGCACGTTCTTTACTCAAAGACCAGTGTTTGTTCACTGAAGTTCCCGGGTGACCTTAAGTTTCATTGTATGGCTGCATTAATAAGAGCACAGCACCTCAAAAATGAGAAGTGGCAAGTTCACTATATCCCACATGCTTAGACCACACCTGGAATGCTGTCTTCAAGTTGGAGTGCTATATGTTTAAGAAAGACAACACTAAACTGTAGCCTAGCTAGAGGGGACCACCAGACCAGGGTGGTAAGCTGAGCTAGGATCTGGAGCTATTTAGCACGGAGGAAGGACCACTAAAGGCAGACATATTGCCTTCAAGTATGTGAAGGGCCAGCCCATGAATGGTGAAATAAATTTGCTCAGTGTTGTTCCAGAGGGCAGAGGGTGGAGCAGCGGGTGAAGGCACATTGCAGCTCAGCAGCGCTGTCCAACGAGGGCCACAGGCCACTCTATGAGGGGCAAGGTCCATCCAAGGAGGCGTGTCAATACAAGCCTGCCATGGAGGGGAGGAACGTGGGGGGATGGGGTCACTAGGTGATGGACATTAAGGGGACACGTGATGTAATGAGCCCTGGGTATTACCTAAGATTGATGAATCACTGACCTCTACCTCTGAAACTAATATTATATATTAATTAATTGAATTTAAATTAAAGAAAATGAAGAACTTGAGAACATTTTTTAATTAAAAAAATTAAAAAATAAATAAATAGAAGCCCTCCAGAAAGACTATGGGAAGCTCTTTCGCCGCAGAGGCTACTGGAGGCCTAAACTTCTGTGATTCTGTGCAGTTGGGCAGATCTCAACTTACCCCTCCTAGGCGCAGCCCCGACCCATTCATTTATTCAGCCAGCATTGCTGCCCTGGAGCTAGGCCCTGGGAGAGGGACGAGTACACACACTGCTCAGTTTTCGGTAGGGACCCCCCGTCCTCTAAGAGTCCCCTGCAAAAGGTACTGAGGGCAAGAATAATGAAAGACGTAATGGCCAATGGAATGAAGTGGTGGCTGCTGATGTGAGGAGAAGGGTCAGGAAGCTTCCCAGAAGCAGTGATGCTCAAGCTGTGTCGTGAGGAAGCAGCATTCTGCCAGATAGACGGGTATGGGAGGGAAGGGGGCGCACGCACAGGCAGGGGACCAGCCTACGCAGGCAGGGAAGCCGTGTCCCAGTATCTCAGCAGAGCCCGGATTGAGCATAGCAGACTGGCTCTGGTTTTTCCTGTGGGCCATCCAGAGACCTCTGTGGCCTGGGTTCCTCCTAGGTTATTGGGACACAGGCTAGCCTCCCCAGTGGGCTCCGTGAGCCGGGGCTGCCTTCCCGTGAGGCAGGAGCGTGCAGGGAACACCTTGATTGCCTGCCTGCCTGCCTTCCTTCCACGCCAGGAGCAGGAGAATGTGTTGCAGCGGGTCCTGCAGCTGCCGGTGGTGAGCGGCACCTGTGAGTGTTTCCAGAAGACCTACACCAGCACCAAGGAAGCCCACCCGCTGGTGGCCTCTGTATGCAATGCCTACGAGAAGGGTGTGCAGGGCGCCAGCAGCCTGGCGGCCTGGAGCATGGAGCCGGTGGTCCGCAGGCTGTCCACCCAGTGTGAGTCCTCCGGTACTGGCAGGCCGCCACCTGTCTGTCTGTCTGTCTGGTAGATTGCTTGTCTGTCTGCCGATATGTCTGTGCGCCTTTTTGGCTGTCCGACGGCCTTTCTAACCACCTACATCCCGTTACATGATCTTCTCTACAGCTATAGATAATACAGTGAAAGACGGCTGTAGACACAGGTACAGATATGGATGTACATCTCTCCCCATCTGTAGATGTCCCATCTACAGCCCAGTTGGCATTTTTCTGGGATGACAATGATGGGCCAAAGAATTGGCAGGGCAAGGGATGGGCAGAGCTGTGTGGGCAGTGGTGGGAGTGGGGCTCATGGTAGACCAGATGCCCACTTTGGCCCCAAATCCAGCAGCAACAGTAGGAACTAGCAGAGTCTGATACAGAAGCAGGGGCAGCAGACTCTAGGTCTGGCCCAGCAGAACCTGGGGGGCTGGCGGGGGGGGCCGGTGGGCGGGAAGGCATCCGGGCCCAGCAGCGGAGAGCTAGCAGCCTGGGCCCTGGAGGTGGAGAGCAACTGTCCATACGGGCTCTACTACCCGACCCAGCCCTACTCAAATTGTTCTGCCCCATTTGAAAATATTGTCTCCAAGGAAAGACTCTCTCTCTCTCTTTTTAAATTCCAGTATAGTTAACATACAGTGTTATGTTAGTTTCAGCCATACAACATAGTGATTCAACACTTCCACACATCACCCAGTGCTCATTACGACAAGTGCATCCAAGGCAAGGCTCTTGACAGGGCTGAGGGAAATTCCCGCAGCACCAAGAAGTCTAGGACCTTCCACCATCCTGGTTAGAAAATTATGGGTGCGTGAGGATTCTGCCTTGGGCCAGCCTCCTTGCCTCCAAACTCCTTCAATAACTTCACTGGGTCTCATTTTGCCCAGTCAGAAGATGGCCCAAGTCATCTGGGCTCTCTGCTGCTTGAGAATTTTGTGACGAAATGTAAGCTATCTGGAGAGAGAATGTATGAAGGCATAGAGAACTGGTCTCCATGATCATGACTGCAGAGCTCTGTCTTCAGCAGCCCGTACCTCCTAGAAGCACCTATGTACTCTGGTACTTGCCCCCCTCTCTGGGGGCAACTCCTTTCTCTTCCCTGCCACCCTCTTCCCACCGTTGATTATCTTACTCCTAGAAGGTAGAAAGAAGGACATGGACAGTCCGGGGCCTGGGCCGGCTATGGCTTGGACTTGGTCACCGCTAGGACGAAGCAGTACCGGCCCTACCCCCACAGGGCCCACCCGAGGGCCCTGCTGCCCCACCTCTCACACCTTGTCCTTCATGCCCACCCAGTATTTGTTGGTGATTCACGGAGTTCCTGTCCCTTCCTCCTCACCACAACCCAGCACGTTAGGCACCATTAGTCCACATTTGACAAATGGGGAACCTGAGGCTCAGGCACGCTGTGACTTACTCAAAGCCACACTCTGTAGATGCACACACTGGGCTCTGAGTGCAGATCTGCTTGACTTCAGAGTTCCTACACAGAGGGAAGACGCCGGCCTGGCCTCAAGGAGTCACAGAGGATGGGGAGCTCAAAGGGGCTGAGGAACGGGGCGGGGAGCGACTCAGGTTCCAAGATGCTTCAGATGCAGCAGGGCTGGGGGGTTTTGAGGGCTCTGAGGTGCCTTCCTTGACACAGAGGCCACTGCTAGGTCCTCATGGCTCACCCCACTGTGGCCTTCGCTTCTAGTCATAGCTGCCAACGAGCTGGCCTGCCGTGGCCTGGACCACCTGGAGGAAAAGATCCCAGCCCTCCAGTACCCTCCTGAAAAGGTGAGCCCCTTTCCTCTTCCCTAATGTGCCCCGTACTCTGTTGTCCCACCACTCAGGAGGAGAGGGCACAGGCTGGCAATGCCATGACTGTCAGCCTTTCATTTCTATGGCAAGTGCCCTCCAAGCTTGGGGGTGGCCGCCTGCCCCTAAGGCCACGGTGGGCTTAGTCCTCTCCCTGTGGTGCCAAATGGAGGCAGGCTTTCTGGAAAGCAGGCACAGCCCAGGGGCTAACTCAAACAGAGGCTTGGGGTGGGTCCTACTGCTTCTAATCCCATGATCCCCCTTCCCCACCCCAGGATACCCAGTGGGCCGGCACTGGACCACTTGGTAACTATAGTCACCTAAGATCGTGGGCCACACTCATCGGAGCTCAGGATTGCAGTCCCATGTCCTCAAGATCCAGCCCTTTATGGACCAGGAGACTGAAAAAGTCACTTTACCTAGCTGTATATTCATTGGGTATTTGCTAGATAAGGGCCATGTCAGGCGCTTTTGGGGAATAAGCTTCATCTCACTGACCAACTATGTACTCATCCCACAAACGTTTACTGAGCCCTACCCTATGCCAGGGGCCACAGTGCGATTTATGGAGCCCTCCCATTTAATCCTCTTGTCAACCGTCTGGGACAGGGTGGGTATCCCCATTTTACAGATGAGAAAACTAGTGACTTCGCCCTGGGCACACAGCCTTCAGTGGAGGCCACATGAGAGCAGGTCTGTTTGGCTCCGAGGCCTGTGCTCTTCACATTTTTCCAGATGAAGGGCATCTATGTCACAAAAGAGCTCCCAGACTATAGGAGAGAAAGATAAATTATTTCAATACGGAACTGGTAGGAAGATCAGCCACATCTCTGAGTCAGTCTAAATGCAGATGGGAATGGGAGCATGTTCTGAGGGAAGGACAGACAAGACATTTGAGGAATTTGGGAGTGGAGATGCCTTGTGAGCATGAGAATATCGAGACAGGTGTCATCAAGGAGGTGGCCTTTGGGGGGTAAGTTTGGTTCGGATGTTGCCAGGGAGAACTGGGGTGCAAAGAGGCCAGGAGATCCATGCACGGGGAGGACTGGAGCCCTTTCCCCTTAAAGCTCAGCTTAATCAAGGGGTCCAGATATGGGTGCCCCTCCCCAGAGCCTTTATTTTATTTTATTTTTAAGTAAGCTCTATGCCCAGTGTAGGGCTGGAACTCATGACCCTGAGATCAAGAGTCACACGCTCTACGGACTGAGACAGCCACATGCCTCTCTCCTGAGCCTTTAAATGAGGCCTTCCTGGAAGCTGGGCTCAGGGCTACCAGACCCACAGGCCTGACTCCCCTCCCCATCTCCCCCAGATCGCCTCTGAGCTGAAGGACACCATCTCCACCCGCCTTCGCAGTGCCCGGAATAGCATCAGCGTGCCCATCACCAGCACTTCGGACAAGGTCCTGGGGGCCGCTCTGGCCAGCTGTGAGCTCGCCTGGGGGGTAGCCAAAGACACTGCCGAGTATGCCGCCAACACCCGAGCCGGCCGCCTGGCCTCGGGAGGGGCTGACTTGGCCCTCGGTGGTGTTGAGAAGATGGTAGAGTTCCTCCTCCCTTCAGCCAAGGAAGAGTCAGGTATCTACCATTAGGGGGGCTGGCAGACCCTTCTTGGGAAGTGAGTTGGCTGCCCATGCTGCCTGAGTTGGCTGCCCATGCTGCCTCGGAATTAGTAAGAGGCAGCCAGGGCTCAGCCGGCCACGGCTCTGGAACAGGGAAGGCCCAGAAAGATTTCCAGAGGGATCTATCCTACCTTAGCCTCCTCTCCCCATTTGTGAGTGGGGAAACTGAGTGACCCGAGTCACCAGCTCCACTTGTGGTGGAGCTCGGGTAACCACTTTTCAACCCTAGACACAACTTCAGCTTCCCCAGCACCCCTCTCTCTCTGATCAGCTTTCCTTGCTTTCCCCCCAAATCCCATCCAGCCCCTGCTCCAGGACAGCAGCAGGCCCAGAAGCCCCCCAAAGCCAAGCCGAGCCTCATGCACAGGGTTGGGGCCCTGGCCAACACCCTCTCTCAACACACCTTCCAGACCACAGCCCGGGCACTGAAGCAGGGCCACGCCCTGGCCATGTGGATCCCAGGTGTGGCACCCCTGGTGAGTGTCTGCCCTGAGCTCTGGCTGACCCCTAGCCTGGGTCCCTCCCATCCCACCCAACTCCACCTCTGGTCCTAGGAACATTCTCTCCTCCAGCTTGGGCTGGGACTTTTGGTTTAAGGACAGGAGGCCTTAAGGGGGTGGAGGGCCAGTCCTCTGGGCTTCAAGGAGAAGGGAAAGGACAGGCTGTGAGCCGAGGACACTTGTGTCTCTGTCCCTCTCCCTCGGAGTCCTACCCCCCAGCATTCATCCTCACAAGGGAGCTTCTTGCGGTGGGCCCTCCCACCTATGAGGGAGCAGAGACCCCTGCTCCTGCTGCTACTCAGGGACCAGAAGTGTCACCTGTAAGTAAGCAAGGTCCCAAATGCCTTCTGCTGGGGAGAGAGTGCTGGCTGGGCTGCATCCCTGACTCTGACTGCCCACAGGTTTTAAAATTTCCCCTTTAGAGTTCTAATTTGCATCTTACTTGCACCTAAGGTAAAGCTGTTTTTTCTAGGCCCAGGCAGGGCTAACTCCCCACCATACCCCACCCCTACTGTGTATTTTAGCAGATATAAACTGGATTTTTTTTCATAAGAACCTTTATAAGAAACAAGGGCCAAATAAAGGAAAACAAAGGAAATAAAAATTAAAACTTAAAGCATAAAGGTCAGCAAACAAAACAACCACTTCTCAGCCATCATTTGAATAACATTTTTAAAAGCATCATCAGGCCTCATTCATTCAAACAAATGTTTGCTGAGAACCTACTATGCACCAGGTTCTGTGGCTTCAGTAGGGATACGGGAGTAGTGGTTCTCTTCTGTCCCCTGCCCCGGGGGATCATTTACCCGTGGGGGCTGCGACTGACCCATGTCCCAGCCTTACGTGTAGTAGGGAGGGCCTGCTGTACTGTGCAACCTCAGGCACCCTGTTCACACAGAACATAATGGTGTCCCCTGAAGCTGTATGATAAAGAGGCCCTGTTTGGGGAGTTCCCTAGGGCTAGGAATGAGCCAGGCTGTGCCCCAAGGGGGCACGAGCCCACCTGCCCAGGTCTGTTTCCACCCATGGGACACTGGGGTCCTCTTGATTTTTTCACTCTTTAAAGATCTCCAAGTCTCCAAAGAGTATCTATTAAAGCTAAACATGCCTCCCCCGCCAAGACCCAGCAATTCAACCAAACAGAAATGAGAGCTTACGTCCCCCCATAAGACAGGTCAAAACGTTCCGATCAGGCTTTATCCTTAGCCAGGAACTGGAGACAACACAGATGTCCACCAACAGCAGAGTGGGTAAATTGTGGTGGATCTACATGGAATATGACACAGAAGTGACAAGGAAGGAGCTCCCTTGACTTGCGATCGCGGGGATGAGTCTCACAACACAATGTTGAACAGAAGAAGCTATTCGTGAAAGAAGACCCATTGCATGAGTCCATTTATATGAAGTTCAAAAATGGGCAAAACCGCCCCTCTGTTGGCAGAGGTCAACATGCGGTCCCTCGGGGGAGGGTACTGGCAGGGTGGGAGGCACCCCCATGGGAGACTTCTGGGGTGTTGAGAGTGGCCTCTATCTTGATCTGTGGTAGTTACATACGTGTGTGCTTACAAAATGTCACAGAGCTGCACGCTTCCGATGTGCGTGCCCCAGGTGTGTGGGTGATCACTCAGTGACAAATCTGGGGGACAGCCCGCTGGGGCCTGGCCCCTGGTGAGGGCTTTTGCCCACTGGGGCCGCCCGGTCCTCTGCAGGCATGTGAGGCCAGCAGCTCACGGCCCCCCCCCCCCGCCCCCATGCAGAGCAGTCTGGCTCAGTGGGGCGCGGCGGCCGCCATGCAGGTGGTGTCCCGGCGGCAGAGTGAGGTGCGGGTGCCCTGGCTGCACAGCCTCGCCGCCCAGGATGAGGACCACGATGACCGGGCAGACACGGAGGGAGAGGAGACTGAGGAGGAGGAGGAATCTGACACCGAGGAGAACAAGCTCAGCGAGGTAAGGCCGAGCAGAGGCCGAGTGGGGGACGTGGACGCCTCAAGGTCCCACAGCCCACTGAGGGGACGCGAAGCAGAGGCTCGGGGTGGGCCTCGGCCCCCAGACCCAGAGACTTAGGGCGTGCAGGCTGCGTTGTTCACCGCACCCCCAGATGGCCGGCTAACAAAGTACTTCCATGCCCTTCTCTCGGCTGACCCTCACAACAGCCCCAGAAGGTAGGCAGGGCGGAGACTGTCATCCCCGTTGTGCAGGTGAGGAAGCAGGTCCAGAGAGGGGAAGTGACCTGCCCAAGGCCACACAGCTCGGAAGAAACCGGCGCCCGCGCGTTCTTTCCCTCCAGCCCTGGGGGCGGTGGGGAGGAGAAGGGCCCGGGGCGCGCCGCCGCAGGTGCTGACCCAGCTCTGGCCCCCAGGTGGCAGCCCTGCCCAGCCCGCAAGGCCTCCTGGGCAGCGTGGCCCACGTGCTGCAGAAGGCCGCGGGGAGCACCATCTCAGCCGTGATGTGGGCGCCTGCGGCTGTGCTGGGCTCGGCGGCAAGGATGCTGCGCCTCACCCCGGCCCGCGCCGCCTCCCCCACCAAGGGGAGGGCCATGTCCCTGTCAGATGCCCTGAAAGGCGTCACTGACAACGTGGTAGACACGGTGGTCCACTATGTGCCGGTGAGTCCCACCCACCCCAGGGGCCTGGGAAGGACGGGTAAAGCAGATTGGACCCAAGGGGCTGCAGGGGGCCTCCTTTCCCCAATCTCCTTGGCGCCCCAGAAACATTTTGACGAACTGTGGCCTTGATGGGGGGCCCTTGCCAGCCCCAAGAGTATAGAGACGGTGGCCCTGGCCTGAGACCCTGCCCCACAGCCCCCCTTCCGACCATCAGTCTGGGGGTCCCCAGCTGGCCCAGCCCTCGCCTCAGGGGGTTTGCATGCTGCTCCTTGCGAAGGGGCTAGAAGGAGGCTTCCAGGGCACCCTGGGGGGTGGGCTCTGTTCCAGGGCACAGCTGCTGCCCCATCCCAATCCTGTCACCTATTAACAAAAGGAAAAACCCAAGAGACACCAATACTGTCTCTCTGGCAGTCCCTGGAGGCCCCTTCCCAGAGCAAGGCACAGGTTGTGCAGGCTCCAGAAGGCCCAGTCAGGCACCCACCCTTTAGAGTGAGCTAGGGTTGGGGGCGGGGGTTAGTCAGTCCCTCAAGGAGGCACGCCGGGGTCTTGGCTGCCAGCCTGTTTACCTTGGGCTCCACACAGGGCCAGGCATGGGTCCCCTGACCCTGGCTGCGACCACGTGTGGGCTGTGCTTAGCGCACGGCTCAGGCCCAAGGGACGGCGGGAAAGCCGCTGACTTTCCACGGAGCGACCCCTGAGGGAGACCCGAGGGGTCCAGGCACTTTGGGAGGGGGGCTGCCTGCCGTGCCTTCGGGGTCTGGGCCGAGGAGACCATGGGAGAGGGCAAGGCGTCAGCGGTCTCCGCTGCTCCCCCGCCCGCGTCCCACACCCCAGGCTGTGCTCTCCGTAAGGCCGCTCCTGGGAGGGGTGCCTGCGAGGGGCCCGGAGAAGCGGTGGATGGGAGGCGCAGGGACGAGGGGCCAGGCCGGGGCCCTAACACGGCTGCCGGGCCCTCAGCTCCCCAGGCTGTCGCTGATGGAGCCCGAGAGCGAATTCCGGGACATCGAAGAGGCCGAGCGCCGGGAGGCGGAGCGCAGGGCTTCTGGGGCGAGCCCCGAGCCCGCGCCGCGCCCCCCGCAGCCCCGCGGCAGCCTGCGACCCGCCCGCAGTGCCGCGGCGCCCCCTGGCCCCCCGGGGCCGGAGGACAGGGCGGACGCGCCCGCCGCGCCGCGCCCGGCCTTCCCCGCGGTGGCCCGCGAGAAGCCACGGCGCAGGGTCAGCGACAGCTTCTTCCGGCCCAGCGTCATGGAGCCCATCCTGGGCCGCGCGCAGTACAGCCAGCTGCGCAAGAAGAGCTGAGCCCCGCGCCTCCGCCCGGCCGCCCGCCCGCCGCCGGGAGGGCTAGGCCCGGACCGGCTCCCCGCACAGCAGCCGAACCTGCACTTCCGAGTGAGCGGGGCCTGCTTCCAAGTAGTCCCCTGGGAACCCGAGTCTCATTCTCGCGGCGCTGCCGAGGCACGCATTATCTTTTAGCACCGTTTTGGGGCTTAGCTGTCCGAACCTATTTTTAAGAAGCGTCAGAGCAGCAGCTTGCTTTGGTTCTATGCCTTGTTGTTTTGTTTTGTTTTTTAACCAAAGGATTAAGCGCCTGACTTGAGCTCTCACTTCTTTAACCAACGTGTGGCCAAATGACATTTGACTGTTTCCAAAATTTAGATCCATCCTCCGTAGACAAAGAGTAAGCAGGGGGCGCCTGGGTGGCTCAGTCGTTAGGCGTCTGCCTTCGGCTCAGGTCATGATCCCAGGATTCTGGGATCCAGTCCCACATCGGGCTCCCTGCTCGGGGGGAGGCCTGCTTCTCCCTCTCCTACTCCCCCTGCTTGTGTTCCTGCTCTCGCTGTCTCTGTCTCTGTCAAATAAAAAAAAAATCTTTAAAAATAAAAATAAATTAATAAAAAAAAGATTAAGCAGGAGTCTCTGATATATGTTTAAGGCCTGAGCTCAGAGATTCCTCTGAGTATCCAGGCTCTCGGCAGACTACTTGAAGGGAGCGACAATTAGGTGCAGAAACTGTTGTATGTTTATATAAATATTAGCCTCCCTTTCCGAGTACCCAGTACCCTTCACAGGGTGAATCCCGGCCTGTGCTCTGTAGCGCCACCTCCTGGCTCACAGCCGCACTTCCATTTGCTTCCTTCCTGACTTCATCAGTACGTTCACTCTTCCACCACTGCTGGCTCCCCCATGGCGGGGGGAAGACAATGGTGGCCCGTTCACCTTATAAAGAACTACATAGACCATATGGATGGACTCTGTAGTAGCCACAGTTCATTCCAAGTCCTATTTCTGAAAATGTCAATATTTGGCTAATCTAGGGAATACATACATATAATTTAAAAATTCAAATATTGCAAAAGGGTGTGTGTCTTCCTCACTGAGTTCCCCAGTTCCCCTTCACAATAAACCACCCTGCCGTCAGCCTCTCGGATATCCTTCCAGGTACAGGCTGCGCATGTGCAAGCCCACTTTTTTCACACAGCTGTGGGATGTGATCCTCTTTCTTCGTTTAACAATACATCTTAGAGATCTTTTTGTATCAGCACCATAAATCCTCCTTGCTCTTTTTAATGGCCATGTAGTAAGTGCTTCATAATGGAGATATGCTCTTTGATTTAACTGGTTCCCTAGTGATGGACTTTCATTCAGGTTGTTTCCTTTTTTTTTGGTCCTGCAAACAGTCCTACAATAAATGTCTGTATACAAAATGTTTTGTGCAGATGTGTAGGTATATCTACAGGAGAAATTTATAACTTGGAATCATGACATGTGCATTTATTTTTTTTTAAGATTTTATTTATTAGAGAGAGAGCACAAGCAGCGGGGAGGGGTAGAGGGAGAAACAGACTTCCCGCTGAGTGGGGAGCCTGATGTGGGACTCGATCCCAAGACCTGGGATCATGACCTGAGCTGAAGGCAGACACTTAACCGACTGAACCACCCAGGCACCCCAAGAGTATGTGCGTTTTAAATGCTGTTAGAGAACGCCAAGTAGCCTTCCAACCCAAACTCAGTTTTTCTTGTTATTGTCATCTGCAGCTGCACAGGTAATTACTACATCTCTGTCAGTCCTTTTAGATGTCCATATATACATCCTCCAAAGGCCCCCCTCAGACCTGTGAGCTCCCTCTTGGTCCCCACTCTGTTGCATACCTGAAAGCCCAGCTTTCTGAAACTGACTCTGGATCCTGGCAGATCTTTGGTGTAATGAGTCCTTGGCCTTGATGCTTGGGTTTGGAATCTGAGGATGGACATGCACGGGTGGACACGGCCAGGACTCAGAGCTAGCCTTGGGCACCCCACCCCACCTCTACGATCCACACCACCCCCAGCAGTTTCCTGGGGAGGGAGTGTGATCTGACAAGAGGGGCCCTTATAAGCTGATATGACAGGGGCTACAAAGACAGAGACCAGCCTAGCCCTGGCAGGGCTCCCGTGGGCAGTTGCTGGTGCAGTAACCTCAGGCAGAAACAGCCAGCTGTCTGGACTCACCTGCCCACACTGCTTTCTTCCTGGAGCTTGCGAAACCACACTCCTGACAGTCCACTCCTCCATTGTCCTGTGGCTCTTCCTTCTAGACCATACCCCAGTTGGCACAAAAACTGCCCTCTCAGCAACCCAGAAGAGCTGGGGCCTTGACAGCGCTGTAGCAGTCAACACACTTGCTGGCCAGGCCCATACCCCTCACCTCTTGGGGTGCTAGGGGCCAGCATATGGAATAGCACAGCTCAGGAAATAAACAGCTGAAGTTGTAAAGGTTCTATCGTTAAAAATCTCTTGATTAGGTAGCAAAGTGCTCTGAGCCTGGCCCTTGGGGCTTCTGAACACTTTTTTAAGAGAAATGAGAGCAAAGTATCTCCTCTAAATGACAGAAATGTGCTTCATTGTCTGGTGTGGGACTTTTCACTGTTCCAAGAGACATCACTTTGGCAACTCTTGCTCACGTGGATGTGAAGCTTCATCCACACTCATCTTTGGACACTCATGACCTCGGGAAACCCTGCATGTCACACTGGGATGTCGGGGCCCCTCTCCCGAGAAATATCTTACCCCCTCTCTTCTAGTCCAGCTCACAAAATGCACGTCAACTCAATCACAACTTTTGGAGATGGAAAAAGAACCATTACCAACCACAAAATACATTTATCCATGCGGTTATTTACCACTTTTTTCCTACATAATTATTTAGGATCTTAATATCTGAAGGACTTCTGTGTCTGGAGACAGATAGCCCTGTGACTTGGCTTTCTTGCTCATTGTATGAAGCAGAATTTTCCTAAACATTTAAACACTTCATACTTAATCAAAACTTGTAAGATGCATAAATCAAATTGTTTTAAATCTTGAAATGTTGGTTACAAACAAAAGTCAAATTCTCTTACATATTCCTGTAAACCCTGAGTCAGTGGAAACTTATACATGTCTCATCAGCACCTCACTATAGTTAGCAGGCATCCAGAGGTTCCCCTGTCTGCAGAGAGGGGACAAAGTCTGCATGTCCTGCTGGGTGGACCCTTCTTCTACCCATCACTCAACGTAAGAGACAGAATGTGAGCGGTACCGTTAGAACGTCCTGTCTGGCTTCTCCATTCCCACCCTGGCCCTGCCCCCAGAAACCATAATCTGGAATTTTGTGTTTACTGTACCTTTGCTTTGCTTTATAGATTCCTTTCCTATGCATATACCTCATTCCAATACTATTTCGTTTTGCAGGCTTTGAACTTTAAGTGGAATTATATGTATTCTTCTGAGACTTATTTTTTTTCACTCAAAATGAAGTTCCTGAGAGTCACTCATTTTCACTAGAGATTTTTTTTTATTATACAAATAGTGCTGTGATCTGATTGTATCCCCCCCACCCAAAATTCATATGTTGAAATCCTATCCCCAAAGATGATAGGATAAGGAGGTAGGGCTTTGGGGAGGTGATGAGGTCATGGGATTAGTGTCTTTATAAAAGAGGCCCCAGAGAGCTCCCTTGCCCCTTGCACCATGTGAGGACCTAGCAAGAGGCACCGGCCATGAACCAAGAAGAGGGCCATCACCGGAACATGACCATGCTGGCGCTGTGATCTTGGACTTCCCAGCCTTCAGAACGGTAAGAAATAAATTCCATTGTGTATAAGCTACCCAGTCTGTGGTATTTGGTGATAGCAGCCCAAATGGACTAAGACAAATACGTTTTATATTTAATACGTATGTAGAATTAGTATATTAATATCAAGTATATCAATTTAGTCATTTGTATTAGAATTGATTCCGTTTTGAGAGATAGAAAGCCCTAAATAACAATGTGTATTAGTCAGCCTTTGCCATAATATTGCTGCATGACAAATATCCTACAGATTGTGGCTATGACAACATGCATTTATTCTTATGTTTGTGGGTCAGCAGGTCGACTGTGGTTCAGCTCACCCCTGTGGCACTCCAAGTGGCTCTCTTCTGGCGTGTGGATCATCTGAACTTGGCTTCAGACTGTGCATGACTTCAGATCTGCTCCAGGTGTACTATTTCAGGGATCCAGGGTAAGTAAGGGTCAGTGGCTCTCTGGGGCATGCTCTCCCACAACAAATCACAGCCCTCTGCTTGCATCCTGTCTCCTCAGATTCCATTGGCCAAAGCGTGTCAAGTTCCCACCAACGGGGAGAGTGATCTGCTTTACTCAAAGTTCACCAATTTATATGTTAATCTCACCCTAAAATGCCCTCACAGAGACATCTAAAGTAATGTTTGACCAAATATCTGGGCAGCCCCAGGCCCAGTCAAGTGGATACATAAAATGAACCATCACATTTGCCAACACCATGCAGACCTGTCTCATGTTCATATTCTAAGCCGTCATAGTCATTCTGGAAGTCAAACATTACAGTGGTTACTTCTCGGGCAGCAGCCCTAAGCCATGTGGTACAGGAGATGTGAGGGAAAACAGATCTTAGGGCTCCCAGGAAAAGTTCCTTTGATCTGAAGAGTGCAGCATGATACGGTGCTCTCTTCCTCCTCTGGATGTTTTATGGTGGAAGGTGATGGCTGGGGAAAGGGACAAAGCCAGGTCCTCTGTCACACTGCCACTGACCCAACCTGCCCCAGAGCCTCCTCCCTCTTGTCTTTCAGCTGAGATAACACACAGCCTTATTGTTCAAGCCACACTGAGTTATGGTTGTGTTCCTTGAAGCTGAGGGCTTCCTAATATAGATCTATCCAGAGAGACTTGGTAACTTCTACAGCCCTTAATTGCACTGCCTGTCTATGACAGGTAATCTTCTGTATACATAATAAATTTTGCTACTACAGCGGAGTTCAAT